AGTGACAGATAAATGGTCAAATGCATTCTTGGGACGACCTGTATCATTCTGATATCGTCAATCTTGGCTAGCTATATCGTACCATCTACTGTCAGTTATAGGAAATGCATTTATTCAGTTCAGTTACATCAAAGGCAGAGGTATAATGTATCCCTCCCGCCGATCAAAATTAATGACAAGAGGAGGGTCTTGCCTCACAAATAAACAATAACAAGGTTGGTTTCCATCCTTCACAACAAACTTTAATTGCCCATATTTAAGTTCTTTCTGAATCAGCAGGAAACCTGAACATCTTGTGGCCTTTCTCCTATCTGTTGCTGCACCCACAGCCGCAGCAACACATTATATTAACAAATTTTGAATGCATATCTTCAAAATTATGAACACACTCACTTATGAACTCATTCACATGGAACCAGTGCCCGATAATGCAATGGAAACAAAATGGCTCCATGACCAGATTTCGGGAACCCTCATGGCGCAACTCTCTTCATCCAGGGACTCAAGTCCCACTTTAACAATGTCAAGACTTATTTGGGCTTGGAGCTGCTTAACTGAGCCACTCTGATCCTCATTATGCATTTTGATTCATGCATCAAGTTATGATTCTGAGAAATTACAATAGCTCATTCATATTAAAGCTTGGCATTAATAAAAGGTTCCTTCCGTGACCAGTTGCCTCTAGCCCAATTAATACTAAAAGAGTTTACTGGACTGTTGGAAAGCACATTAAAATTGCATAATAACGCAGGGATTAGGCACTGCCTTTACGGCTGTTCTGTTAAAGGGCATATCCTGGCTGATTTGAAACATAAAATGCACCCAATTTTGAGATACTATATAGGATTTTTAGTCACTTTACTTATTTTAACCAATATAACACATCGATCAGTGTCAGATATACCTATGTTTAATATCAGTATTTTAGGCAGAATTCGTCTGGTGCGAAAAAAGCTTGCGATCTGAATCTCCCAGGGAAAATGACTTTCTCTGACATCACGTGCATTTCCCGCAGCCCATAGGCAGAGCTGGTCATTCTGTTGATAATGGTTATACTCAGAAGTTGCATTATTGTTTATGGTGTTTATTTTTGCGATTTTGGGCGTTATTTGAAGCATTTGGCCGGAATGGTCAACAGGTGTGTTGTGGGAGGGTACAAATGGCGATTCCATATCAGATATCACTGTTGTTCAGCTGCCATCGGTAAATGTCGGTGACTGATCCATGCAGGCACTGGGTCTCTCAGTGCCCTGAATATGGGGGAACCGCAGGTGACGTCACGAATCTGGATCAATATGGCTAAGGACTCCATGGGGATTTTTCCAGACGCTTCTGGTAATTTTCAAAAATTGTTCTATACACGGACCACCCTTGGCAAAATAACCCTTAGGATTTGGTGTATAAAGGCACAATCTTTTAGATAAAAAAAGAATATGCCCTTTAATAAATGGATCTGTCAGGCATATACAGATAAACAGGATCACTCGCCTCCATATGCATACGCAAAAGTGCAGGAAAGATTCATGTGCATGTTTAGCTTTCAGAGAGATTACATACTTTCCATTCTGGTGAAGCTCAGTCACAACATGACTGCAAAATATCACAGGAGGAGCTGTTCGCCAGCCTACAGTGTCCCTAGACTGTGGGGTGACCGTGTCATCTGCATGGTAATGGCTAACAAACACTCTGCCAGTAATCTTCCTCTCTCTATGGTCACAAACCTGTCTCTCTGCAGAGCTAAGAAAATGCACGTACTGTCCTCAGTGGCACCGCCTACGCATGTGCCAAAATAAAATTAGATAAAATGAAACAAAGTTGTTTTGCCTCAAGAGAATTTCAGCAGACTTTGAAAAAAAGAAAATTGTTGCATTTATTGACCCATATGTCCGATTGATTGACTTTCTACCTGCCTTCTGTTTGGGCTTCTTACAGTAATTGTGTGTGTGTGTGTCTTTATTTGTGTGTTTGCGTGTGTGTATGCGTGTGAGTAGATGTGGGGGGGGGGGGGGGGTCAGATGTCGTTCTGGAGACCAAAAAGAAAAAAATCACCCAATAAGAGTGGCTAAAAAAATAGAGCAGTTTTTAATAGGTCATCAGTGCTTCCCAGCACTTGGGTGAACTTTATAATTCCAAATGTTACCAACTGTTAGAATGAATGAATGACATAAAACAATATATATTACTATAGTTTGTTTTTGTCTGGCTTGCGAGCAGAACATTTACTGTCTAGACGGCCCCAGATATTTCTGCAGTGACAAACACAAAACCAGACAGACACACAACCACCTGTAGACTCCCAGCACAGCACTGAGCAATGCACTGAGCATTACATTGAGATCAAGAGTGTGTCTCTGAAGTAATATCATTCTCAAACTTTTAATTTTTTTGTCGTGATTTTTATTTAATTTCACTGATCGCATCAGCTGTGATCACAAAAAATGGGATATAATGATGATAAATGACCACAGCCCCTTTTCTTATGAAAATGTGAAATATATATACCAAAACTGCAGTAATGGCAATGGATATTGCACTCATAAATCCATTATTATAACGCTGGAGGGACTCCAAGCCTTTGCTGTGCTTTCCTTGGCACCATGCATTTGAGCTATAGAAGGCTCCATATAATATATTATATCAATAAGTGTAATTCAGCAGCTCCCAGAGGGAATATGAAGAGCAACAAACCAGACATTTCTTCTATTTAATTTTAGTTTTTTTTCTTAAGTAATACTATATAATATCAATAAGTGTAATCCAGCAAATTCTTGAAGAATTATGTAGTTTAGCAATCCCAACATTTCTCTCTGTAAATTTGCATTTTGTTCTCGAGTAGTATTATATTATATCAATAAGCATAGTCCGGCAACTCCTAGAGGGAATATGGAGAGCAGCAAAACAGACATTTCTGTCTTTTACTTTGTATTTTTTTCTTAAGTAATGCTACATTGTATCAAGAAGTGTAATCCAGAAACTCCTTGGAGAGTGACAAACCAGACATTTCTTTCCTTTTAATGTGTTCTTTTGAAGTAACATCTGATTTTTTATAACCTAAGTACTCTCATTAACAGGAACTGAATAGCAGGAAAGCGGATGATGTAATCGCTCTGCGTCGAGAGTGAGCCTGCTTTGTGTCTGCCCCTTACATTGACGACACCAGCGAAATCGGAGCTCCTACAGTTTCTTAAGAGCCCTCCTCAGTTTACCCATGGCTCCCACTCATTTCAGTCCAAGAGACCTCATCCTGCTTATTGAAAATGCCATCCGCACCCAGCTGTTGAGTCGCGCACGGATGTGACAAATGCGTCCAAATGTTAGGCAGTACCGCGACGGGGGAAGGCCACGCTTGGCTGCGATATCGCACACAGATTGTCCATAAACATCTTCTTGGTCCTGTGGGGACACAAAGCAGATGCAGTTTGCGCAAACACAAGCCGTGTTGCTTAGCTATTCTGGAGGCTACTGGAGTATGCAGCAAGGGGAGTTTAGCTTTTTGTGAGTTCAGGCCAGAGTTTTTCCTTTGGCTACTCAGTGAAAGTATCCTGTCTGATTTCTGTAACAAGTGCTAGACAAATAGAATTGAAATTGAGAGGGGAAGCTGTATGCATGAGATCAGGGTACCGGTATATTTGGTCATAATGAACCCTTCTAAGCACTGAACCAATCGTGTATCGCCATGATTTCCCAGATACAAAACCTGAAAATTGCTGGGGTCTGGAATAACCCTGGATAATGCTCAGAGAAGCAGGCCTGCTGGTCAATCAGAGGGGTAAAATTCATCTTCCATAATTTGGAAGTCCTCCCCAGGGTTTTGTTCCAACTGCCAGGATTTGCTAGTTGCTACAATTCTTTAACCTGGAGGTAGTACCCATTACTTAATTCTGCTGGCTGAATTATGCATCAGGGCTTTAGTTCTTGATCCCTGGACTTTGCACCTCTGCCACACAACTGCTAAAACAGCACCTTAACAAGGTAAACTACCTTACTCTCTCGCTTATTTATCTAGTATTCTAGTCGGGATGAATCATTTCATTGCAAAACAGTGGCCCTTGTTGGCTGATTGCTGCTCCGTTTGTTAAGCTAAATGTATGTGGGGCTTGCTATGAGCGCAGCCCAACTTTTTACCTCGCGCGGGACAGAGTCTGGAGGGTGAGGTATTGCTTTTGGTGGGGTCTCTTTGTTTCTTTGTTTGTTTGTCAGCAACATTACAGCAAAATGGCTGAACCAATCTTCATGAAACTTTCAGGACAGGTGGGAAATATTCCAAAATAGATGCCTATAAATTTTGGAGGTCATCAGGTTAAGGTCAAGGTCAAGGTTACCAGAAAGGTCAAAATTGTTTTCCTGCAGTAACTTTTGGTACTTCAAACTAAATCCAGAATGTGCATCTTTCCATCCTGCTTCCACTTATGTGCTACATGATAGGGTAGCTCTCATAGTTTTCTCAATGGTTGGGGGTTAAATGTCAGGCAGGTCAAGGTCACTGCTTAAATTAGCTTATTTTCCATTACAACTCAAAAACGGTTAGCAATACAGAGGTGTTTATTATAATGAAAATACAAGAAGTCACATATGGGCTTTCATTTGGCACTATAACCTTTGACCTCGAGTGACCTTGAAAGGTCAAACTGAAGGTCACAATTTTCAGAGAGTTATAACTCGAAAACAGTTGCAGATAGAGAGATATTTACTATAATTGATAAATAGAAAGTCGCATATGGGCTTTCATTGGGTAACATGAACTTTGACCTTGAGTGACCGTTAAAGGTCAAACTCAAGATTGTGGATTTTCAGAGGGCTATCGAGTCAGAAGCTAAAGCCCTAAAATAAGTGCTATCGGCCGAGGTTTGTTTTGCTTGGCAACACTTGATACTATGGAGGTGAGGAGACCTGTTTGTTTGCCATTGTGCTCTTTAGAAATGAATTTAAATACCCCTGAAAATGTGTCCTTTTTGGAAAGAAAAAGAGGTTAAGGATTTGTCCTTTACTGATGCTCAGAGGGCCAATAGCTAAGTGGTTTGAGCATTTGTCTGTGACATTGAAGGTTGTCGGTTGAAGCCCTACTGTGGCTGTAATGAGATTATTGCGGCTGTTGGGTCTTTAACTAGGGGCTGGGCAATGTATTGACACTCAGATCCACATTATCAATGTCTCTTTATCAAAAAGCACTTTGTGTCAATATTTTGTGAAAGCACCAATAGTTATCCCAACAATATCTTGACAATATCGAGGTATTCGGTCAAAAACATCGTGATATCTGATCGCCCAGCCCCACAGTGACACCACATCGTTCCACAAGGTATTGGCCCCTGCTTAGCCAAATCAACTTCGAATAACTTTGAGAGAATACACTCATTAAATAACCATGTTAGCTTGAATGTTGTTGCTGTTATTATTTTTATAGATTTTTGGGTGCACTTATAAAATTATTGTGTTATAAAACAACAGAGTACTATTGAATTTAACAGTTCCAAATAAACAAAACATTGCCTTATTGACATTTATCTGTCAGGGAAATGTAATCGCCCTTGTTTATAGAACAGTACTCCTTCTTCCCTCTGTCCTCCAGGTGCCAGGATCAATGCTGAGCTCCTTTTAGGAGAAAAAGACTTGTGAGGATGCATCAGACGGCGTACAGATTTATGGCGCTTCACACAGGCTTGACACCGGACTGTTTCAGGAGCCAAACATTTGCTGGGTACGTGCTGAAGTGGAAAGGGTTTCTCACAAAGTGCTGATTAAGAAATTGATTTAGTAAGTGTTGGAACGGGCAGCAGCCAGAGTTCTTTTTTTTTTTTTTTGCACGTGGTCGGAGGTGATAAAAGCGGGAAACTCTCCTTCCGGGCAGCAGCTGAGATAAAGCCATAACATTAGGCATAATCCTTTTAGGCCCAGACTAACGCGAGTAAACTCAAGGAAAATTGCTTTTGTTCTGATAATTTCATCAGAATTAAAAGATTACGGCTCCTAATGGTCAAGTTCAAAATGCCAAAGCCACAAAGAGTAGTTTGAAAATAAAATTATGTGTTGCATTGTTAAGGGATCACATGCCATAGCATTCAGTAGCTGATAACTTAGATTTACAAGCACACATGTGTCTTTTTGAGTGATAACAGGCTGCAGGAAGGGGCTTAAGTTAGCTGTCCTGAGACCTGCACAAAGATTAATTCCCTCTGCTCTCCAAACAGGGATTACGGTTGGAAGAGAAGCTTAATGTAATTCTTGTTCTTCACCTTTAGTGACTAATTACCTCCCAGAACTCCTGTTTAATTCCTGTTTAAGTATGGTTTCACTTGAACAGTGTGTGAGTGCAGAGGTGTGGACGGGTATTCCTCGCTCTGGTGGGCAAGGTCACTTTAATGCATGGGCTTGCTGGGGCTTTGACCTCAGGGCCTATGAAGATCGAGGGCCTATCCCGAGCCAGTGTATCTATTCTTCAAAATCACATTGTTCTGTAATTTGATTAATTTTCTACCCATCACTTGATATTCATGTTTGTGGCTGATGATTGGTCCGAGTGACAAGTGACCCATGCAGCCACCACATGTCGAGCAGACCCAACGGCCAATCAGAGTGTAGAGTAATAGTATTCATATGTAACATTAGCAACTGTAAAGAACTCCTCATGACAAGAGGAGAATCAGAAGTTTGGTGTGGGCAACTTTTTAGTCATATCACAGTATGCTATACTATAGTCTACATGCCGTTTTCCTTGTTTAAATGCCAGACTACCATATGTGTGATGTAACATATTGCATACCCAGCTCCATGCATTAACTAATTAAAAACTATTAACAAAATTTTATGGAAACAAATATGGGTCATTCATATTTTGAATTGTAAAAAGTTTTGTAGCTGTAGAAATATTTTGCACGTGTGAAAAAGTTTTGGGCCCAATTTGAGCCCAATCTGCATACACGGGGGGGGGTTTGTAGTTGTAGAAATATTTTGTGCAATTTGGGGCCCACAAGTGATGGATCATTAGATTTCTTTGTCCTTATAGGGATATTTTTGGTCCCCACAAGGTAACTGAGCTATTTTAAGGTTAGGGGTTGATGTAAGGGTTAGATTAAGGTTAGGGTTAGGGTTGAGCATGTAGTGTTTAAGATTTTATGATTAAAGTCCAGGTTAGGGCTGAGGGAATAAATGTAAGTCTATGGAATGTTCCCACAAAATATGAGAAAAAACAATGCATGTTTTTGTGTTTGTGTGTGTGTGTGCGTGTGTGTGTGTGTGTGCGTGTATTGGTATTTATGTTGATGCATGTGTCTGCGTGTGCAGGTGTGTGAGTGTGTGTGGACTCCAGCCTGAGTCCCTATGCTGTCAAGTTTGCATGTTCTCCCCATGTTCTCGTGGGTTTCCTCCGCGTCCTTCGGTTTCCCCCCACAGTCCAAAAACATGCATTTCAGCTTAAGTGAAGACTCTGAATTGCCCCTAGTTTTCAGTGCATTATGGATTGGTGAACCGTGGGTGTATTCAGCCCTCTTTTCCAATGCATTCTGGGCTGCCTAGGATCCCCCACAACCCTGATAAAGAACAAATGGGTTTGATAAAACATTTTTAAAACATAAATTGTTTTATGGGACCCAGCATCTGCCTTTAGGAGTTCAAACTGTGCCAAGTTGAGGTAGAACTAGATGATCCATAAAATAGATTTCCCGTAAAGTTAGGTTAATGGGCCTTGGCAGTGAATGAATGAAAAGATCTGCTCATGCACATTTATGGCAACCTAAGTAAGAACCTTCATCATGAGACACTGACCTTTACTGCTTTCTTTTAAAATAAAATATTATTTTAAGATAATTTATAATATATCTTATAACATGTCATTGCAATGAGCCATTTGCTTCGCTTGTAGCCTTTTTATGGGCTCAGCTGAGATCACTCTGCGTAAACGTGCTGAATTTATTTTCCCCCTTGATGAGAACAAATACAGAGTCAAAGTATGCACAAGAAGTGCATGACAGCACTATGATGCCTATTTGTTCATCCATCCATCCATCCATCCATCCATCCATTGTCTAACCTGAGAATTTCTGGTCAGGGTCATGTTGGGGGGCAGTTGTTGGAGTTTGTCCCAGCATGCAATGGGAGAGAATGCCGAAAAATGTCATGGGTCAGTCGCCCTGGTGTTGCTCTGGGAGATGCAGTTCCACTGTAGCGGAGGCTTGGGACATGAGAGCTCATATCACAATGTCAGAGCGTGTCAGCATGAGATAATAACTTCCTCTTCCCCAATACAATTGCGCGTCAGCTGCTGCTGTCATATTCTGATGTACCCGCAAATGAGATGTCAGAAAAGTGCCACACTGTGTTTATGCTGTGTAAAGACCATTAGGTGTCCGTAGAGGGAAAAGTGAAATGACATGATTGCTGCCATGTAAAGTTCAGGAAAGCATTATGACTTTCAGAGAGTAGTCCCATATAATGATGAACTGTGGCTGTTCCAAGACAAAGAAATTAGTCTAGTTCCTGATGGTCAGACATTCAAAATTACCTAAAATGCCAATGTGCGCACTGGTTGTGGAGATCAAGCTTTTTTTAGGACAAGAGGTCAACAGAGGCCATGAAAAGTGAAAGTTTATTGTTCTTGTGTGAAGTCAAAAGCAATTAAATGTTTTGTTTGCTCATCTGAGCATGAGAAGATAATGAACAGTGATAATTCATATAGAGTGTAGCAAAATAGAATCTAATTTGGTCCTGGTGGACAGGTATAAAAGAACTCAAGTCACAATGTATGAACTCACATTAGCTGCAATTTTCAGGTCCTTTGAGGGCAATAGGTAAATATAGGTTGGCATATACCCTGTACTGATTGCTAACCCATCGAAGGCCACACAGACAAACCATTCACTTGCACACTCATACCTGTAGGAGATAAAGATTCCAGTTAGCTTAACATGCATGTCTTTGGGCCATGGAAGAAAACTGGAGTACCCACAGGAAATCCACACTGACACAGGGAGAAAAGTCACACTAACAGTGGTCTGAATTCAAACTCAACATCATCTTTCTATGCGGCAACAGTGGTATCCTATGTGCCACCTCACCACCCTTCACCAAACCACTTAAATTACAAACAAATACTGTATGTGGGATGTCAAATTTCCCCCCACAAATGCGCATAAGTAGCTTAATGCTGGTGAGACCACGCTGAAATCCTCTGATACTTCCCTCGATTATACGCATCATTATGCAAACTGGAAATCACTTCACTCAAGTGACCCCGTAACAACAAACTTAAAAGCTAATGATGGATAAAAAATATTGAAAATTGTGATTACTTTTCTGTTTCATATTTTTTAATATGAATTTCAAAGATGTGCTCTAAGCTGTGAAAAAAGCCTCTGAAATGAAAATGTGTTAATTCCATGCGCTATCAGTGGGCATGTCCACAGTCAAGGTAAATTAACCTTATTGAGACAGTCTAGTGATAGACCACCCATAGTCTCGTGTAGATTAGTTTCTACAGTGGTAATGTAAATGCTGTGGATAGAAAACAGCCCAAAGTGTGCACAGAGTGTTGTTTCAGCTCTTTTCAATGCAGGATTAATTCACCAGTTGAAAAGAAAGAGGCATTTTAAATGACTGCACCTCACATTTCAGGACAGTTTGTTGAAGATGTTTTTTCCAGATCAAGAATATTGAAATCTAGCTCTTTTCCAGACAAGCAAATATGCACACAGAAGATTTAAAGTATTCATGCGCTTCAAATCCAGCATGTGAAACCTGTCTCTAAATAGTTCATTGGCATTATTTTCATTTTTAAATGTTCACTCATTCGCTGTTATGATAGCCAAGGAAATCTTGTAATCCAATTCTGCATCCAACATTTTTTTCCCTGGCAACATCTGGAATTGGTTTTTCACTGATCACACACCCTGAGGCCTTCTCCTGTGTCCAAACCGGCGTTCCCAATCCAACTTTTACTGGAATTTGTCCTCTAAACAAATGCACTTCAGGAAATGACAGACATGTTCGCTCAGAGCAAAAGACCAGGCTGAGTGCAAGCTTAAGTAAGGCTGCAGAACCATAGGCTCTCAACTGTGGGGAAATTGAAGCCAGGTACTGA